CACACACACACACACACACACACACACACACACACACACACACAGAGCAGGCTCTGTCATCACAGTCTTGCATCTCTGTCACTAGCCATGAAACCTTGACTTCTGGTTGGGGACTTTATCTGTTAATAGGAATAATTATAATATTTAACCCTTATACCTACGCAATTTAAGAAGTATAACTCGTGACAGACTTAAAACAGTGGCTGGCACATTTGAAATCTCAAGAAGGGCTGCGCATGGTGGCTCATGCCTGTATTCCCAACACTTTGGGAGGCTCAGGTGGGAGGATCACTTGAGCCCAGGAGTTCAAGATCAGCCTGGACAATATAGTGAGACCCTGTCTCTACAAAAAAAATTAAGATGTGAGCAGAACATGGTGGCACGTGCACATGCCTATAGTCCCGGCTACATGGGAGGCTGAGGTGGGAGGATCATTTGAGCTGGGAAGGGTGGAGCTTGAAGTGAACTGTGGTCATGTCACTGCACCCCAGCTTCGGCAACAGAGTGAGAACTTGTCTCTAAATAAATAAATAAAGCCTTAAGAAAGGTTAGCGCCTTATATCGGTAAGTACAAGGTCAGGATGCTAACGACAGCATGATGGAAACATTTTTCCAGAAATAAAAGAGCCAGAAAGACATTGAGGGTGCAGGGGTAGTGAGTCCAGGAATCAAAGATACCGACTGCAGTGGAATATCAGAGCTAGCAAAGATTCTTTCAGCAGCTTTCTTTGGCCTGTTTTTGTTTGTTTGGTTTTGGTTTTTTTGTTTGTTTGTTTGCTTTTCCCCGGGCCAAAGTCACTGCTGTGAGGAAAGACACTTAAAGTCCTCAGGTCTAGAAGTTTCCTGGGCATGACTAAGGATCTAACTCTCTTCACAGGGAGAACACAGTCTAATAATGTGGTGCCTTAACCCATCATGACCTAAAATAAGAAAGACCTCGTCTCTTTTCCATTTTTAATAAACGTCACAGGAAGAACATTCAATAAGCTTAATATTGTGGTCTTAGCATCTGCCTGTTCCAATCTGCCAGAGCAATCCACCTTACCACTGAATTTCAACACATCATCCATTAGCACTCAAGACAAAAACTGTCCTAGGGCCAATGACTTCCTCTGAAATTGAAACAAATCATTGTACAGCTAAGAAATCAGAAGCAATACACATTCTTGCTGCATAAGCCAAGATATACTCCTTCTCAGGACTGCAGGGCCCCTATCTATAAAATAATTTGATTAAAAAATATGTTTTGGCCAGGAGCAGTGGCTCACGCCTGTGATCCCAGCACTTTGGGAGGCTGAGATGGGAAGATCATCGGAGGTCAGGAGTTCGAGACCAGCCTGGCCAACATGGCGAAACCCCATCTCTACTAAAAATACAGAAATTGTCCAGGCATGGTGGTGCACACCTGTAATCCCAGCTACTTGGGAGGCTGAGGCAGGAGAATTGCTTGAACCTGGGAGGCAGAGGTTGCAGTGAGCCAAGATTGTGCCACAGTACTCCAGCCTGGGTAATAGTGCAAGACTCCATCTCAAAAAAAAAAAAAAATGTTTTGAGGCTAGGCACAGTGGCTCACATCTGTAATCTCAGCACTTTGAGAGGCCAAGGCAGGCAGATTGCTAGAGCCCAGGAGTTCAAGACCAGCCTGGGTAACATGGCAAAACCCTGTCTCTACCAAAAAATATAAAAAAATTAGCTAGGAGCTGTAGTATATGCCTGTAGTCCCAGCTACTCAGGAGGCCAAGATAGGAGGATCGCTGGAGCCCTGGAGGTGGAAGTTACAGAGAGCTGTGATCGCACTGCTATACCTCTGCACTGCAGGTGAGAATGAGCTCCTGTCTCAAAAGAAAAAAAAAAGGTTTTTGAAATGAATGGACTCATTTGAGGTCCAGAGTTATTAATGAGGATAGGTACAAAAGAGTCATTTGCCTATTGTTTATTTTCCAGCTGGTACCTGTGAGGATTCTTTGTAGCATCTAAGCAACATCTCTTTCTGTTCAAACCCAGGAGCCGTCTCTTCATGCATTTTATTGTCCAGTGCGCCGTTCCTGGTTAATTGTGTCTCTCACCGAGAAGAACACAGCAGCTGTGTTGTACTTAACCACAAGGCAGCTCTTCAGAGCCTGCTCGCATTACGTGGTATAGGTCTTCTTGCCTCTGCAGTTCCCTGACAGTATGTTTGTAACGCTGGTTGAATTATTCCTCGTGCCGCCACATCGTCCATCCACCCTGGCTTCCTGTGACTCTCAAAGGTTGTTACTGTGCCTCATGGATGCAAGCATTCCCCAGAGGATGCAGGGAAATGTGAGCTGGTACAGTATTCGTTTGCTGATTCTGTTGTTTACCATTCAGAATTTTATAGTATAAACATCGAACCACCCACCATCCAGCCGCATTTTCTCTTGGCCTCTTGAGCTGGTAACCACTGCATTCCTACAATGGAAGCACTTTTGATTTTGACTGAAGCCCTGCCTTCCACACGCCGCCAATAGCAGGGAGGGTAGGCAAGGGGTCTGTGCACAAGGAAAGAAGAGCAGTCTCACTCCTGCAAGAAACATTCCTCCCTCATCAGGCACAGCTTAATACTGACTGGCAGGGCACCAAGTCACCACGGGAGACAAGAGAGGACGTTGATTGGAAGGCCCATTGGTGTTCAGTTTTGAAAGCCATCCTTGAAGGACTGCCTGGCACATGGCTCAGAGCATGCAGCAATGGCAACTATTGCCCTGGATGCCAGAGGCTGGGGCACAGGGAGACACAGGGTAAAGGACACCTGCTAGCACACCTGCCACCCTCAAGACAAGAGGTGGCACCACAGTCAAAACACAGATGGACACAGGTCCACACTTGTGGCTCAGGGCCAAGGGTCAGTTCAAACCCAGGAGCTGCTGGTAGCCAAACCCTTGAAGTCATTTTGTGTTCAATGTGAGAGTCGCCCCATTCAACAAGCCAGCACCATTCTCAGGCCCAATCCTGGGGGGCCTATACTGCTTGCCAGGGCACCCACCTCAAGTGTGGACCCAATACCAGTCTCTGGCAGGACCCCATAGATGCGAATTCCAGAGTGTCTTGGGATATCCGGTTTACTCCATGTTTGGGGTAGAGGATCAGAGGTCATCTCGAAGGGGAGAAATGAAGACTGGGGACTACATGGTTCTGGGTCTGGGCTGGGGCATCCCACTTGGGGAGCACTGACAGTCCAAGCTGTACCAGGCCCTCAGAAGGACTTAGAAAGTTCAAGGGAGGCCTTCTGAAGCACTGGGGCAAAGGGAGATCAGGGCTTCGTTGGTCCAGTACTAACCCATCTCCTCTAAAAAGGCTGAGACAGCAAAAGAACAGGGGCAGTGGTTGGGGTGAGGGAGCCAGGAACCCCATTAGCAGTAATTCATATAATCTGCAGACTCCAAAATAGTTAAAGGGCTGCCCACAGCAAGCCCCTGAGATCTGGCAGTTTCTAATAGGAAGAGGCAGAGAGAAGATCCATGAAGTGTGTGGGGGTGGGGATAAGAAAGAGGCCAGTGATGGCAGGTCCCAGAAAGTGTCCGCAAAAACACAGATCTGCCTCGGATGTGGTTTGGTTGTATCCCCACCCAAATCGCATCTTGAATTGTAGCTCTCAATTCCCACATGTTATGGGAAGGACTCGGTAGGAGATAATGGAATCATGGGGTGGTTTTTCCCAATGCTGTTCTCATGGTAGTGAATAACTCTCATGAGATCTGATGGTTTTATAAAGGGTTTTCCTTTTTGCTTGGCTCTCATGCCCTCTTGTCTGCCACCATGTACAACATGCCTTTCACCTCCTGCCATGATTGTGAGGCCTCTCCAGGCACATGGAACTGTGAGTCCATGAAACCTCTTTATCTTTATAAATTAACCAGTCTCAGGCATGTCTTTATCAGCAGCGTGAAAACAGACAAAATCTCTACTCTAAAAGAGTTTGCCTTCTAGTGGGGGAAGACAGGGCATCAGCAGGATAAAGAGAAAGACGTCTAGTAACTTAGAAGATGGCAAATGCTATGGAGAAATAAAAAGCAAGGAAGGTGGACAATGAGTGCCGCCATTTCCAACTGGGTCATCCAGGAAGGCTTCAATGGAAAAGGGATTAGAGCAAAGATGTGAAGGGCAGAAAGAATACTGAAATAAATGTCTTGGGGAAAATGTGAATGGATTTAGAGTCCACTCTCCTGGCTTTTCATTAGTATTTCAAAATAATTATGAGAATGTGCATGTGTTGTTAGAGTATTAACCGTTACCCTTGAGGCTGCTGGGGCACCACTAACAAGACAGATTCTGAAGACAAGCATCTCTCATCGTGAAGAGGCAGACATGGGGCCGTGTGGAGTTGTGCTGGCCAGGAGCCCCCGCCCAGCCTCCCTGATCCTAACCCTGAACACCCCTACTGGTGGCTGCATCTTTGTCCTTGGACACCTGGAACACAGTGTCGTCCGGCAGCTCAGAGCCTCCATCGGTGAAGGAGGGCAGTGTCTCAGCAGCTGGCTGTCGAATAGATGTACAGGTGTAGGCCACTTCCAGATCCAGAGCCAGGAGTTTTTCATTGTGCGTGCACCCTGGGGGGACTTCAGGATGTACCACCAGACCCACTCCCTCCCTCAAGTGGGTCCTGAAGGATCTTGTCCAGGGTTAAAAGGACCAATACCAGTAGCACGTCATGGGTCACAGCACACCAGGTGGAATCCTGAGCTCAGGGACCAGGGGATGTATCCCCAGCAGGATGCCAGTGATTAAGTTGCCTTTGAAACCTCCAGGGACTAACAGACTCCCCATTGTTCTACATCCGTTACACAGAGAACATTTTTCTGGCTCCTAGACCAGGGGTGGCTGATCGAGGAGCAGCCTCCATTGCAAGTTACTGACGGCAAAAGGATGCTTTTTTTCAGTGAGGGAATCAGATGGCAAATACAGAATGCTCTGGCCATGGAGGAAGACTGCAGAGAGCTCTGTGATTGAGAATTACAATAGAAGGAATGAGAGAATAAAAATCAAATGCAAAGCGTAAAGGCCACTTTGTTGCGGACTGGCAGGAAAAACATTAAGAGTTAAAAGACTATGACCTTGGGCTTGGATGGGTCATTTAAAATTCTAAAACCTCAATTTCCCCATTTGAAAGTGAGAATTATACTTGACAATCTCCAAATTCTCACTCACTTTAAATATGCCTAGTCTATGCTTCTCTTGAATGGTTCGTCATCATAGAAAAAGGAGTGAATTTGGAGCAACATTTGCCAAAAATTAGATGTACAATTCATTTTCCCACTAATCCGTCCGGAATTCAAGGATTGCAATTCCATTTCTGTACAGCCCTCTTTGCCACATCTACTGAGAGAATACAGACCATTCTCAACACCTCAACTGTTGATGTCCAGAAAGGACTGCCATTTACTTGTAGAGATGCTGAGAGATTGTGAAGGCCCCCTGAGGAATGCACAGACAGACTTCAGTTAAGAGTTCAGTTTCCTTGGGGTAAAAATGAAAAAAAAAAAAAAAAAAAAAAAAAAAAAGCTCCAAGTTGAGAAATGGCAAGGAAATAAAAAGGAACTTGAAAGTTTGCAAGCTCCAGAGGCATTTTAAAAACATGATCGGCGTTCACGACACCAGCAGCTGTTACAGCATTCAGTCTGGGTATGCTCCCTTCTCCATCAGTGTCATGCGTCAGAACAGTGGGTCTTCATTGAAATCTGAAATTTCTTGGGTAAAAGCATATCATCAGGTTTGTAGGAGGCTCAGCGTTACTTGTATTTCAAGCCTCAAAAGCAAATAACATTCAACTCATGCAAAATTCTTTTTTTCTGATTGTAAATCATAAGAGTCAAAACCAAGCATATTAGGAAATTTTGGATAGTATCTAAGTTTCTGAGACAGAAACAGTACAATGACTTGATAGGCAAGATTTAAGGATTATCCAGCTGTGAAGTTGCTGAGAGCTCAGCTTAATGTGTTATTTTTAAAAATGTAATAGAACATATCTATTTTTTAAATGGTTTTGCTAAACCGAGGGTTCTATCATGAAATAACTAAATCCTGGTGACTTTAGGGCTAATCTTAAATTCTTTGCATGTTCCCAATTAATTAAAGGTGAATTAATTAATCAAAGGCGAGTTCATTAAATAATTAAAGGTGAGTTGATTAATTAAAGGTGAAAGTCTCATTCTGAATAATTTACTCAAAATTTACAAACCCTTATGCAGAATCAGTCTCACTCCTCCAGAAGCCAAGAATCACACTCGTAACAGTGTCCCTCCAGGAAAGGCACCCTCCCCATGCCCTGTCCCCACTCCACTCTGGTTTCCTTGGGTTTCCCCTTCTGCCAGACAGACCATGGGCTCACCAGGGAGGAGAAAGGGAGATGCTTAACACTCAGGCTGCTGGACTCTAGCTCCTCAATCCAGCTACTGGCCAAATGGTAGCACAACCTGCCTTCTAGATCGACACCCCGTCCCCTCCCTGTATTCTCAGCTTGGTCTTCTTGAGTACAATTTTTTAAATAGCCACTAGCATGAGGAATTCACAAGCTCACAAACTATAAGAAAATAAATTAGATGCAGAATCCAGTTTTAACTTGTTAGATTAGTCTCAGTAGATGGTGTGATGGCTAATACTGAGTGTCAACTTGATTGGATTGAAGGATGCAAAGTATTGTTCCTGAGTGTGTCTGTGAAGGTGTTGCCAAGGACATTAACCTGTGAGTCAGTAGAATGGGAAAGGCAGACCCACCCTCAGTCTGGGTAGGCACCATCTAATCAGCTGCCAGTGTGGCTAGAATAAAGCAGGCAGAGGAACATGACAAAACTAGACGGGCTTAGCCTCCCAGCCTACACCTTTCTCCCATGCAGCGTGCTCCCTGCCCTCAACATCACACTCCAAGTTCTTCAGCTTTAGGACTCAGACTGGCTTCCTTGCTCCTCAGCTTGCAGACAGCCTATTGTGGGACCTTGTAATTGTGTGAGCCAATACTCCTTAATAAACATAAAATAAAAATAAAATAGAGACATAAAGAGGAGTAAATATATATTTATATAAAGGGGAGCTTACATATAAAGGGGAGTTTATATAAGGGATATATATATATATCCTATTAGTTCTGTCCCACTAGAGAACCCTGAATAATACAGATGGAATGAAATTTTTAAAAGTAGATATTTTTTTCTAGGTCAAGAGCAACCAAATTTTGGCGATTTCACATGACTTGAGCTCTACTTAGGAATCCTTCAATTCTGGATTCTCTGTCTTTTTATGTGAGTTTAACCTATTCCTGCTCTTCCTGCCCAGCTTCTCAGAGTATTCCTTTAAATTCCACTACCTATCCTTAAGCCAGCTGAGTTCCCACTGAGCTCCTCTAGCCAATTCAATGTCCATTCCCTAAATGTTCATTGAGCACCTGTTCTGAACCAGGGACTGCTGCAGACACAGGGCAGGGGTAAGTCTGTCTTAGCCTTTGAGGAGTTCATAGTCTAGTGAGAAACAGAAACTTTAAAAATGGACATAATTAGGTTGATGATAGAAATATGTCCAAAGTGTGGAAGAGAATCAAGAAGCATCACGCTTAGGGGAAAGACTGAGGAAGATTTCAAAGAAGAGTCGACATGTGGATTGTGTCCTGAGGGAACTACAAGATTTCCTGAACAAACCCAAGTGGGGAAGGCATCACAGTAGGCACAGTGCAAAATCTAGGCTCTGGAACCATTGAAGAACACTGAAAGTTTTGGGGAAGGGCCAGTAGCTCCATAGGGCCCAATGATAGGATGCAAGGAGGGGCTGGGTGTGGTGGCTCACACCTGTGATCCTAGCAGTTTGGGAGTCCAAGACAGGAGGATGGTTTGAGGCCAGGAGTGCAATGCTGCAGTGAGCTATGATTATACCACTGCATTCCAGCCTGGGTGACAGAGCAAGAGCTAGTCTCTAGAAATAAAAAATAAAGAAGATGCAAGGAGATAAAAGGAGATTGGTGTCAGATCTTAAAGGAGCATGACATTCTCCTCCTGAACCATGTGTTTAAGCCATACATTATTTTTCTAACCAGGAAAGTGACATGGTGTTTGTTTCTGAAATATAATTTTGCAAAAATTATATTTCAGGAGTGCTTGTTTTCTTACTGTGACCTGTGAGACCAGAAAGAAGAATCAAGCCAAATGAGTAGGATGTGTAGTCTTTAAAAATTATCTTTATTGTTTTTTCTACTTATAAAAGAAATACAGACTCATTTTAAACAATTCAAACATTTTGGAAATATACAACATAGAAATCAAATGCTTCCTGTAATCTAACCTCCCAGACCCAAACCACTGTTACTACATCTGGTATAGATTTCTTTCTTTTTTCTTTCTTTCTTTCTTTTTCTCTCTCTTTTTTTTTTTAGACAGAGTCTCACTCTGTTGCCAGGCTAGAGCACAGTGGTGCAATCTCAGCTCACTGCAACCTCTGCCTCCTGGGTTCAAGCAATTCTCCTGCCTCAGCCTTCTGAGTAGCTGGAACTACAGGTGTGTGCCACCACGCCCGGCTAATTTTTGTAGTTTCAGTAGAGATGGGGTTTCACCATGTTGGCCAGAATGGTCTCGATCTCTTCACCTTGTGATCCGCCCACCTCAGCCTCCCAGTGTGCTGGGATTACAGGCGTGAACCACTGCACCTGGCTGGTATAGATTTCTTTACACTTTTATTTCAATGCCATTTCAATGACAAAAAAAACCACAATTATTTTCGCACCAACCTAGTAGTTTATAACACATTAATATAATTTTTCCATACCAGTAAATATAGAGCTACCTCATTCTTTGTAGTGTGATGTAATATTGTATTACATTAACATACTATAATTGATTGAATTAGACCTTATTTTGTGGACGTGAGTATGTTTTCTATTTTTCATGAATATACACAATGCTGGGATGAACACCTTTTTACATAAGCCCTTATAAACTTGTAAAGATGTTTCTATAGGATACATTCTTAGAAATCCTTCCAGAAACTGATATAAAGGTTATAGCCATTTTCTATTTTAACAAATATTGCCAAATTCCCACCATAAAGGTTGTATCAATTTATATCCCAACAATGTATGTGTTCCCCAACTTCCCCAGGGCTGTGGCATTTTATAGGCAGTCCTGTTCTCATCAGAGAGACTGTAGAACCTCGAGACTCTTCATTGAACTCCGTGAATGCCTGTAGTTCACACATTTCTCTGGTGGCTGATACACGAATATTAAGAGCGGCTCGAAGGTTTGCCCAGAAAAGCCCACATTTACGCCTATCCTTGGGCCATTCCAAATATGCTTTTTTTTCCAGGAGAGCTTTCAGTTTAGGATACCTGGTGGGAATGCAGTAGAATGGAATGGGTTCCAGTAAGATAAGAATTAGACAATCAGAATTTTCATGGAAGAGATTGTGGTGGGCAAAGTAGAGTTCATAATGGCACCACTCACTCTGGACAAAGTTGGGAGACAGAACAAAGATGCTCTTGTAACTCTTCTCCATGAAGCTCACAATATTTTCACTAACACTCTTTCCAGGGTCAAAGTTTCTTTCATAAAGGCAAATCAAGATAGAACCGTCTTCTTTCTCTAGATTGGGGATCAATTCATTCTTCACCCATAGAGAATCATGTTCACCATATGCAATAAATGTATGGAATTGGACATTTCTCTTGAGTTGTTCTTGGGCTGTCTTCCTAACCCTGTGCCACGTTTGTGTGCATTGACCTAGCATCCTGAGATACCAGGGCAGATCAAAGTGGAGACAACAGAAGCCCACAACCAACCCCAGAACTAGCATGATAAGCACAATGGTGACAATCAACAGAGCTGTGTTGCAAGATAATTCAGGAAGATGAACATCTTTTAGCCGAGTCCCCCTTAGGTTTAAAGGGTATTCACAGATGTATGAATCTGACCATCCAACCATCATGCCTTCTGAATATGTTTCAAGCTGAATGAAACGTTTTAATTCACAGGTACACCAGAACGGATTTCTTCCTGCATTTAGAGTCTTAACTTTCTGACAGCTCTGAAAAAAATCCAGAGATGGGCTGAGAATTAAGTTCATTTCAATGTTCAGAATTGAGAGTCTACTGAAATGACTACACCCAGGGAGATCGGTTAGAAAATTAAATGCAATATTTAGCTCTTGTAAGGCCATTAGATGAATAGTCTCTTTAGGTACAGCTTGGATTTGGTTATTATTTAGGTCAAGTATTTGAATACTTTTGGGTAAGCACCTGAAAACAGAATCAGACAATTTATTGTATGACAGGTTCATGGTGACCACAGTTTCTGGCCATGAGCAATTTTCATCATTTTTATGTTGTAATAGATTTTGACTCAGATCCACGTGTTCCAAGGGTGTGTTGCTAGAAAAGCGACTCACTAAAGAAAGTGTCTCCAGCTTATTGCCCTTCAAAATGAGAGTTTTCAAGTGAGGCAATTGGATAGTTCTTTTAAACAACTCGTCTGTTAAGATATTATTGGCAAAATTTAAATATTGGAATTTTGTAGGATAATTAGGGAATAGCATATGTGGAATTTGTGCATTTGATATTGTCAGGTTTTCTATGTCCATTTTGGTCAAAAGCAAATAGATTTTATCCTGCTGAATGTAAGGCATTCTGTAATGCACATGCTCCAGTTTTATAGTTCTCATTACAGTATTTGAGTAGTCAAATGAATTGTGGTCAAGATAAACCTTACCACTAAAAGTCACATTTCGGATCTGAAAGTATTCCACTGATGTATGCCAAACAAATTGGAAAATAGAGAAAAGGTGGTCCCAGAGCAAATCAACTTTATTAAGTAATAGAACCGATGTCTTAGCATTTTCTAAACTCAGATTTCGTTGCATTTCATAACTTGCAAATTGGCTTTTGCCATCTATATTTGTCATTTCTAATATTTTTGAAGTCTTGATTCCATCACGCAAAAGAACCCAGAAATTTGTATTCATTGGTAAAACAATGTGCAGTTTTGTTGTGTTTAAGACGGGCAGGCTACCTTCTTCATAATGAGAAAGAGTTCTGAATCCTAAGAAGACAGTATTTAGATACAGATGAGCAATTTTCTGGAAATCTGATTTTTGTATTTTTGCCCCACTCAAACCTAGGATTTCCAGGTGTGACATGTTGCCAGCTTCCTCACAGATAGGCATGCTGTCAAAGTCATTAAAAGAAAGATCTAAATACCTGAGACCTGCCAGTGAATACCAACTTACACTCTTCAGTCTGTTATTAGACAAATCTAAATATCTTAACTCCTTGTTGAATTCAAAGATTTTGAGATTCAGTTGCTGGATTCTGTTATGGCATAGAATCAAAACTTTCAGTTTGGAGAGAGAATGAAAATCTGAACTCTGGAGTTGAAAAAGGAGGTTATAGGATAAATCCAGTGTGCTTGTGGCTGGGGTCAAGTCCGCAGGAACCTTTCTTAAAGACATGTTGGAGCAGTTGGTCATCAGCTCCCTTTCTCCTGGCAGCTCTGGAACCTCGCCCTCTGCTGTCATAACAATACTACAAAATATGTAAATGTTTTCGATGAGTCTCATTGTATTTCCAAGGATTTTACCACTGATTTCCTCCTATGGATGATGAAGATGAGCTCAAAACCCTAAAAAGACAGTATATAATGTTAGGTTTTTATTTTGTTTGTTAAATCCTGTAGGATTTTTATTTGTGAAAAAAAAAAAAAAAGCCAACAGCTGACTATATTCACGAAGAGGTTGGAATAGGGTCCTGAACTGTATGTTGTGTCTTCGACTTGATCTTAGAGCATTGGCTGATATGTCTCCAAGCTGGTTACTGTGCAATGTCTCCAATGTTGAGGCAAGCCAGGATTCTCAGAGAGAAGCAGCATAATTAAATGCAATAGAAAATTAAATGCGGCCGGGCGCGGTGGCTCACGCCTGTAACCCCAGCACTTTGGGAGGCTGAGGCGGGTGGATCACAAGGTCAGGAGATCGAGACCATCCTGGTCAACATGGTGAAACCCCGTGTCTACTAAAAATACAAAAAAATTAGCTGGGCTTGGTGGTGCGTGCTGTAATCCCAGCTACTCAGGAGGCTGAGGCAGGAGAATTGCCTGAACCCAGGAGGTGGAGGTTGCGGTGAGCTAAGATCGCACCATTGCACTCCAGCCTGGGTAACAAGAGTGAAATTCTGTCTCAAAAAAAAAAAAAAAAGAAAGAAAATTAAATGCAATATTTAGCTCTCATAAGGCCATCAAATGAATAGTATCTTTTCACTAGTAGTCTCTTTTCTCAATGAAGCTTACATTACATCTGTTTAAGAACTGCATTTTCAGGTCAGACTCAACACCCTCCCTCACATCGTTGATAACCTGAAGATTTCAAGACAACAGAAAGTAATTTGTTTTATTATACAGACGTTGTGAGCCTTTGACTTGATATCATGGAGTTATCCCTCAATTTTTGTATTTGTGGATATAGAAAGTCCCTGGAGCTAATATCTGACTTTCAACACACTTACCTATATACATGGAAGTTCCAAAACATGAAACAAACAGAATGATTCCTGTCCTTCTGCCTCTATATGTCTTCAGGTTGGTGGCAAAAGCAATCTGGATCACTGCCAAATAATAGTAATAATGTCAAAAAACAATTTTCAGATGGGACGTTTCTAGTTTCCTCACAGATAGGCATGGTTTCAAAGTCATTAAAAGAAAGATCTAGGCTGGGCGTGGTGGCTGACATCTGTAATCCCAGCACTTTGGGAGGCCAAGGCAGGCAGATCACCTGAGGTAGGGAGTTTAAGACCAGCCTGACCAACACAGAGAAACCCCATCTCTACTAAAAAATACAAAATTAGCTGGGCGTGGTGGCGTATGCTTGTTATCCCAGCTACTCAGGAGGCTGAGGCAGGAGAATCGCTTGGATCCAGGAGGCAGAAGTTCTGGGGAGTGGAGATCGCACCATTGTGAACTTCAGCCTGGGCAAAAAGAGTGAAACTCTGTCTCAAAAAAAAAAAAAAAAAAAAAAAAGAAAGAAAAAGAGAAAGATCTAAAAGTCTGAGATCTGCCAGTGAATACCAAGCTACAGTCTTCAGTCTGTTCTTAGACAACTATAAATATCTTAACTTCCTGTTGAATTCAAAGCTCTTGATATTCAGCTGTTGAATTCTGTTATGGCATAGAATCAAAACTTTCAGGTTAGACTTCAATGTGCCAAGATGCACACTAATTGCTTCATGTATATTATCTCATTTATTTATCACTATACTCTGTGAGGGAAATACTATTACTCCCATTTGATAGATGAGGAAACCATGGATATAGAATTCTGAGGACATTGGGAAACATGTCAGGCTTCACCTGATTTGATTAGACATAACACAGAGGTAGCTGGAGAACTAAGATTTTTACAATATTCATTATTCAAGATATTTATTAAGTACCTACTCTGCCAGAAACTTTTCTAGGTACTGGGGAACAGATTTCTGTTTCTACACAGCTCACATTCTAGAGAGAGGGTAAAAAAACGGGAGACTGGAAACAAAACAATACATTTATGTGTTATGACTCACAGTTCCACATGCCTGGGGAGACCTCACAATCATGGCAGAAGGCGAATGAGGAGCAAAGTCATGTCTTATGTGGCAGCAGGCAAGAGAGCATGTGCAGGGAAATCCCCCGTTATAAAACCACCAGATCTTGTGAGACTTATTTGCTATCATGACAACAGCACGGGAAAGACCCATCTCTATGATTCAATTACTTCCCACCAGGTCCCTCCCACAACATAATCAAACCGGAAATAAAAGAGAAATCCAGATGAGAGAGAGGTAACATTCTAAGTGGCCTTATGTTTTGATTCTCCCACAACATAAATAAAAGCACTTGGCAGTTTTCCTCTGACTGAAATGAGAAAGCAGCGGATTTAGAGTCCAGGAGGGGCAAGTTCTGACATCCATTTTAAAGTGTGCTGGGGGGGAAGGACTGGGACCCAGGAGGCTGGCAGGGAAGACTCCTTGGCTTGGAACACTGCAGAGTAACTTGTGCCAGAATGTTTCCGTGGAAGTGGAGAGAAGTGGCTAGGTTCTAACTTCAAATTAGTAAACAATTCAACTCTACGTCTCCCCACACCGGGCACTCTGAAGGCACTGAGGGCAGGTGACAAGTTAGTGTGGGAGTTTTTCTGCTTCCATTTGTATGTGTCTGTTATACATTGACTCTCCACCTCCACTCCCATAGACAGACAGAGGGAGCAAAAGACACTCTCAGCAGAAAGAGGATGGGGTGGAGAGACGTCTGATGTCTCTGTGCTTGCCATGCTCCGATCATTCTCAGAGGCTGGTCAGGAACCAGGGGAGGCGATGGGCGCACCCACCCACAGGCATGCACGCAAACATGGTGGGTAACAAAGCTGGGCCAGAATCAAAACATAAGGCCACTTAGAATGTTACCTGTCTCTCATCTGGATTTCTCTTTCTCTAGAAACTTCCCAAGCAGTTTTTTTTCTTGAAGTGAAGAAGTTCCAGAAAACCTATGGAGAGTAAGGAGTGAGAGGGCCACTTCTGAGTTTTCCATTAGCTGCTCATACCAGTAAAAGAGAGAGAGCATCTTATATCGGATCTTGAGAACACATATGAGCATAGATTATTTGTGGGAACTCCCTTAACTGTACACACTTGGAGAATTCTTTTGTGAAAATGTTAATTACCCACATTGATTATATAATTTTTATATTTTGTAAACTATTGTTTCTGGTAAGTGCTCTCAAACATCTTGGAAAAAAGCAATAATTTTGGTAAGGTCACCACAATTAGATGACTTCTCAAAACACCAACTTTTAAAAACATGGTCGAATAAGATGCCTCTGGCCATATTTTTCTTTGCTCACATTTTAGTGACTCCCATAGTGTAATGTATACTAAAATATTATACTGCATTAATATGTAAATATAACATGGAGTAATTATCAGAAAAAAACAGGTGAATGTTCTGTTTAATTAACTTAGTTTCTGCTAGATTTTTGAACTGTTGCATATTTAAGAGTAAGTTTTCTACATTACCTTTAAATATTTCTAATAGAAAATCAGTTTACATGTGGCATGGAAGTGTAATTACTACTCAAATTATTGTGTTCAAAGTATCTAATGTATAATGATAAACCTTATATTTTCTTTCTGTTTTCTTAAAACTATATGTTAAATTTTAGAATATCTTAATTTCCAAGCCACTAGATGCAGAAAATAATTTTCCATGCATTCATGATCTCTTCTGAATGACCTCTTAGTAGATAGATAAACTTCATTCATTTGTTTATCAACTGTCTCCTCTCCACTCATTCCCGGGATCGCTGTCTGTCTTGTTCACTTCAGTATCCTCAGAACATAGAACAGTGCTTGACACATGGTGCATGCTCATTAACTACTTGTTGAATGCACATATGAATGAATGAATGCCTATAGGTATGAATGTCAACATTTTAATAATTAGCACAACATGATGCATAATATGCTCTCATAAGTATGCATTGAATGAAAGCATTTATGTTGTGAATTCCTGATACATGATGGTTAAAGAACCAGACGTCATGAGCCTTTGACTTGATTATCTAGATAGAGAAGAGGTGGTCCCAGAGCAAATCAACTTTATTAAGTAATAGAACCGATGTCTTAGCATTTTCTAAACTCAGATTTCGTTGCATTTCATAACTTACACATTGGCTTTTGCCATCTATATTTGTCATTTCTAATATTTTTGAAGTCTTGATTCCATCACGCAAAAGAACCCAGAAATTTGTATTCATTGGTAAAACAATGTGCAGTTTTGTTGTGTTTAAGACGGGCAGGCTACCTTCTTCATAATGAGAAAGAGTTCTGAATCCTAAGAAGACAGTATTTAGATGCAGATAAGCAATTTTCTGGAAATCTGATTTTTGTATTTTTGCCCCACTCAAACCTAGGATTTCCAGGTGTGACATGTTGCCAGCTTCCTCACAGATAGGCATGCTGTCAAAGTCATTAGAAGAAAGATCTAAATACCTGAGACCTGCCAGTGAATACCAACTTACACTCTTCAGTCCATTATTAGACAAATCTAAATATCTTAACTGCTTGTTGATTTCAAAGATTTTGAGATTCAGCTGCTGGGTTCTGTTATGGCATAGAATCAAAATTTTTGAGCAATTTTTGCTCAAATCCACTTTTTGGTTTTAGGGATTGATGGGTCTGCGTTCAAGTCCAGTGTTAACCATTCATTAGCTATGTAACTTGGACCATTTATTTAACTTCTGGAAGGTTTGGTTTTGTCAACTGTAAAATGAAGCTTGTGAATAGGCATACGACAATGTATATAAATCACTTTGTACCATGCCTAGCATATCACGCTTAATAAACGGTGGCAGTGATCAGGTCAAGACTCAGGTGAGTCAAGGAAAGCATAAATGTTAAGAGGATGCCAAGGAGCTCAGTAATCAAGAAAATGTTTACATGAAATACTTTTTAAAATGAAAATTAGGCTGGGTGCGGTGGCTCCTTGTAATCCCAGCACTTTGGGAGGCCAAGGCGGGCAGATCAAGAGGTCAGGATTTCAAGACCAGCCTGACCAACCCAGTGAAACCCTGTCTCTACTGAAAATACAAAAATTAGCCAGGCATGGTGGTGTGCACCTGTAATGCCAGCTACTCAGGAGGCCGAGGCAGGAGAATTGCGTGAACCCAGGAGGTGGAGGTTGTGGTGAGCCTAGATCATGCCACTACACTCCAGCCTGGGCAACAGAGCAAGACTCCATCTCCAAAAAAAAAAAGAAAAAAAAAAAGAAAAAAAGAAAGGAAATTAATGCAAAAATCTATGTTGAACAAAATATCAAAATTTTTCATAAAGACAGGATCAGCGTTACTGATTCTTTCTTTTGCTTCAGGCTCCATTATGGCTTGGCAGGACCCTGGTGGTTATAATCATTAGGTTGACAAAGGTGCTTTTAATGTTATCATCTCACAGACTGCTTAATTTGTAGCAATTGACTTTAAGCTTTTAGGTCTTAGAGCCATGGCCCCTTAAGAATGTAGCAGAATCTAACCCAGCTGCTTTATCTGGAATTCTCTGGGCTGAGATGTCAGAGTTTCTGCCTCTTAACCACCTCTTCCCCCTGCCCAATACCAGAGTCTTATCTGGGACTGCAATGGAAGAGGAACTAAGTCTTTCTGAACTTCTCTTAATATGATAATTATAAAGGTCCTATCTCTCAGGCAGTACTTCCGCATTCTGACATTTTATCAGAATAACTTTTATGTAGAGACAGGGCCTCACTATGTTGCCAAGGCTGGTCTTAAACTCCTGGCCTCAAGCAATCCTCCCACCTCAGTCTCTCAAATGGGTGGGATTAGAAGTGTGAGCCACTGTGCCTGGCCTCATTAAAGCAATTTTAAAAGTAGGACATAAACCCTTTTTTTTTTGAGGTTGAGTCCCACTTTGTTGCCCAGGCAGGAGTAAAGTGGCATGATCTTGGCTCACTGCAAGCTCCAGCTCCCAGGTTCAATCAACTCTCCTGCCCCAGCCTCCCGAATAGCTGGGATTACAGGCACCTCCGATCGTGCCCAGCTAATTTCTGTATTTTTAGTAGAGATGGGGTTTCATCATCTTGGCCAGGCTGGTCTTGAACTCCTGACCTCAAGTGATCCACCCGCCTCAGCCTCCCAAAGTGCTGGGATTACAGACATGAGCCACTGTGCCCAACCTAAAAGTAGGACATAAACTTTTGATGAAAGATGTCTTCTATAAATACTATGTATATATATTAATATCATATTCCTACTACTATGCTAAAAGCAGGTAAAAAACAGAATGACATTCCTTAATAAATCTTTAATAGCTTATAATTTAAAAGTCAAGTCAAAAGACATCATCAAATGACAACTAGTGTTTTGCCAAAGAATATTTAATCATCTAATTTCTCTTTTCCCAGTGATATAAAGAAATAGAAAAGAGATTAAGAACCTATTGAATGTTTAATGATCTTTGGAACCTCAGAGTAAAAATGACTTCTTTTTAGTATTTCCTATGTGTATGGAGGAGTTAAAGCCCAGAGGTAAAATAACTTGCCCAAGATGATCCAGTGAATAAGCAGAGATTTGAACCCTGACTTGTTTGGTCCCTTCTGGCTGGTAGCTAAACCCAAATGGAAGGCACCTGAAACCTTGAAATGAGGCAGCTTAGGATGTAATCACATCCTAAGGACAGAATCACCGAAGTTGAATCCATTGACCTGATCACCTGCCGTGGCGGCCACTTCTTCCCTTCCCATCCCTGCACCTCTCTCAGCAGCTTCATGCAGCTGCTATGGGACACTCTGCTAAGTGCCACGAAATTCAAGAGACTTTGCCTACATGTATATATATTCTTAGGAAATTTGTAAGTTCACAAAAATTACAAAGAATTAAAACTCAAAGTGTATGCATTCCTTTTTTTTTTTTTTTTTTTTTTTTTGAGACGGAGTTTCGCTCTCATTGCCCAGGCTGGAGTGCAATGGCACGATCTCGGCTCACCGCAACCTCCGCCTCCTGGGTTCAGGCAGTTCTCCTGCCTCAGCCTCCTGAGTAGCTGGAATTGCAGGCACGCACCACCACGCCCAGCTAATTTTTTGTATTTTTAGTAGACACGGGGTTTCACCATGTTGACCAGGATAGTCTCGATCTTTTGACCTCGTGATCCACCAGCCTCAGCCTCCCAAAGTGCTGGGATTACAGGCTTGAGCCACCGCGCCCGGCATGCATTCCTAATTAATAGCTCAATGTAGGTGGTCTGGGAGAAAGCGCTTCAAGAAATCAAATGCCCACAGGTGGTTAACCGTACTCTTCTTTACAGCAACCCATGGCCCTCTTTGTCCATTTCTGAAGGAAACTGAACAAGAACTGCGTTCTACAAGATCCCTCAGATCTGCCCCTACTTTTAGACAGGCAACGCAAAGGCAGAACTTTTCAACGGGATAAAGGAGCAAGAAATGCGCCTTAACTAGCCAAAGGTTTTATCCAGCAGAGGCAACATACACCATGGAGAAAAAAAGAGAGAAAACTTGCCGCAATGCCTGGGACCGTTCAATCTGGATAGAAGGACTGACCAGGTTTGATCCACAATCAGCGAAAAGAAACCCACACCCTCAAGCAGCTGCAAGAAATTTCTCAGATCCACCAATCATTAATTTAGATAAAATAATAAATACCACAAATCCAAATAACTCTACTTTCCTTTCCTCTATATTAGCTCGAATTATCTCTTTAGAAAAGACCCATGCAGCCCTTTTATCTTTTTCATGAGAGTTACAACCAACAAAGCTAAGGTTCTTACCCCGGGCGTGCACTGTCGCAGCAGAGCTGCAGGTGTGTGAATGATTCGTTGACAGGGTCAGAATTGGCTGCAGGAGCTGAACGAATCAAGTTTTTCTGCAAAGCTTAAACCCCATCCGCCCTCTACTGCATGCTAGTGGTATTGTGTGTTATGTATATTCATTATAATCTTAACACTTTTTAAAATTGCGGTAAAATACACATAACATTAAACTTACCATTTTAACCATCTTTTTATTTTTTATTTTTTTCAGACAGTGTCCCACTTTGTCACCCAGGCTGGAGTGCAGTGGTGTGATCACTGCTCACTGCAACCTCGACCTCCTGCACTCAAGCCATCCTCCCCCCTCAGCCCCACAAGTAGCTGAGACTGCAGGTGCATTCCAACTGGCCTGGCTAATTTTTTTGTATTTTTTGTAGAGACAGGGTTTCGCCATGTTGCCCAGGCTGGTCTCGAACTCCTGAGCTCACATGATCTGCCCGCTTCGGCCTCCCAAAGTGCTAGGATTACAGTGTGAGCCACTGCACCCAACGTTAACCATTTTTAAATGTAAAATTTAGTGGCGTTAAGTACATTCACACCATTGTGCAGCTACCATCACTGTCGATCTCCAGAGCTTTTTCATTACCCCAAACTGAAATTCTATGCCCATTAAACAGTAATTGCACATTTTCTCCTCCCCTCACACCCTGGAAACTACAATTCTACTTTCTGTCTCTATGAATTTGACTACTCTAGGTACCTCATGTCTGTGGAATTATACCGTATTTTTTTTTTTTGAGACTGGCTTATTTCATTGAGCATAATGTCTTCAAGGTTCATCCATATCATTCTATTATTATTACGGAGAATCAGAATCCTTCCTTTTTAAAGCTGAGCACTATTCTGTTGTGTGTACGTCTCACATCGTGTTCGTTCATTCATCCATCAATGGACATTGGGGTTGTTTTCACCTTTTGGCTTTTGTGACTAATGCTGCTATGAACATGGTGTACAAACATCTGTTTAAGTTGGTGCTTAACATCTTTTGAGTCTATACCTAGAAGTGGAATTTGTGGATCATATGACCATTCTGTTTAATTTCTTGCAGAACCACCATACTGGTTTTCTACAGCATCTTAGAGCACTTTGATGATGCCTTTCTTCAAGGTGCAGGTCAGTTATCCCTTTCATCAGTTGGAGGGGCAGTCATGTGATGATTAGCAGGAATAGGAATGGTGGCTCCATAATTTCAGCAATCTAGCAGAAAGAGGGTAGAAAGGAGTTATCTAGAGCAGGGGTCCCCAACCCCTGGGCCACAGACAGGAACTAGTTCATGGCCTATGAGGAACTGAGCCACACAGCAAGAGGTGAGTGGTGGGTAAGCAAGTGATGCTTCATCTGTATTTACGGTCACTCCCCATCGCTCAAATTACCACCTGAGCTCCACCTCCTGTCAAATGAACAGCAGCATTAGATTCTCATAGGAGCGCAAACCCTACTGTGAGCTGCATATGTGAGGGATCTAGGTTACATGCTCCTTATGAGAATCTAATGTCTGGTGATTTCTCACCATCTCCCATTACCCTAGATGGGACCATCTAGCTGCAGGAAAACAGGCTCAGGGCTTCCACTGATTCTGCATTATAGTTAGTTGTATAATTATTTTATTGTATATTATATTACAATGTAATAATAATAGAAATAAAGTAAATGTGATATGCTTGAATCATCTTGAAACCATCTCACCTCCATCTCCAAACCTGGATAAACGGTCTTCCATGAAACTGGTCTTTGGTGCCAAAAAGATTGAAGACCACTGATCTAGAGGCCTTGTCTTGAAGTGAAATGGTAAAACAAACATCGTATTTTTAAAAATGTAGATTGCAAAGTACAAATCAATTTTTAAAGCAACATTTTTGAGGTTTTTTTCATACTCGACTTAAGATTTAGGTGACTGCTGGAGATCACAAGTAAAGAAGAAAATTTCCAAATAGATTTGTCCACAGGAGGAACGATCAATTTAAACATGAATGATTATAATAGATTTCTGTCGTGCAAAATGGGGGAGTGCGTGGGTTCTTAAAATACATTTTTTTAAACTGTCATATTGGGGTTTTTTAATTAAAATGTAGTGTATATATTTCCACATACATTTTAGGGGAAAATCACAGAATAAGTAGCTGTATAAAGAAAAACAACAGCAAAACAAAACCAGCTCTGCTGCTCACCTAAACATATACAAACGTGTACATTACACAGACACGGGAAGACAGGTGTCGGGAATGTTGAAGAGGGTATTCCTAGCTTGTTGGATGAACTAAGTTCTGACATCTTTTTCAGTTCAGAAATTCTCAAACTACTCTGATCAGCACACAAACATTGTCTATTGCAGTCTCAAGGAAAAATAATCACTTGGGATTTTTGTCGTCCAAAGACATACTCTTCCTTTTCCCAGAGACCAGCATGTTTAAATACTTTATTGTCAGTAAATGGAGTTTTCTTTACGTGTTTTTACATTTGTCTACCAAAAACAAGTTGAGCCAAGTAAGGAGTTGTTGTCTGTGCCATCTAATCATTATCATTAAGCTTGCATTTACTTCCTAAGTGCAGAAAGTATTGCACACAAGATATTGGCTAATCATCACCACAAACTACTTAGAATGTATACTTTATTCCCATTCGACGGCTGAAGAAACTGCCTGAGAGAGAACAAGAAACTGGCCCAAAGTCATCATCCAGTAGAGGATGGAGCCAAGATTCAAAACTAACAGTCTGCTTCCAAAGCCTACAATTTTTTCACGACTCCGGATGCCCAAGAGATGATGTAATACTCTCTGCCTTCACCTGAGATTTCTAAAACATTTAAATCCTTATTCACAACTAGCAACTGAGAATAGTATGCTCAGAACCGTATGTGCTAATAACTTTAAGATGTAATACTTTTATTCCTTTCAAACAAACATCCCTCCCGCCCTCTACACACCTGCATGCATGTGGGCACACACACACACACACACACTCACACACTCACTTCCCCTGTAATGCCTTCCTCTGATTGCAGACATGGGCCTGCTCTGATTCTGCCTTCATATGTAAGTTGCGATGAACAGAAAACCCTGGGTTACCACAAGGGGATGGAGGTTTATTTTAAAGACACTAGAAGTGGTGAGGAAACACAGCAGCCCAGCCAGACCCTGTAAAGACCTGGAGCAGTGGCTTCTGGGGACTCCCAGAGCAGCCATGGTGGTCAGACTGTCTTGTTGGGCTGCTCTCCACTTTATCTATGACTTGACTTTTCTTTGATTCTTCCTCAATCTGCTTCTCTTTCTATTACCCACTTCTCTTAATTGCTGCCTTTGCTTCTACATGTGTCTTCCTACAGCCTTTTCCCACGCTCATGGCTTATAGTCAGGGCTGAGGCTCACTCTGAGAATACTTGCCCCAAGACGGGAAATCTGATCAGATCTTTGCCTCACTATGTAAGACGGAACATCTCTATTGGGCAGAGGATTCATGACCACCTTATAGTCTGCTAGCCTATTTTATTTTTATTTTTATTTTGAGACAGTCTCACACTGTCACCCCGGCAGGAGTGTAGTGGCATGATCGCACCTCACTGCAACCTCTGCCTCCTGGGTTCAAGTGATTCTCCTGCCTCATCCTCCCAAGTAGCTGGGATTACAGGTATGTGCCATTATACTCAACTAATTCTGTATTTTTGGTAGAGATGGGGTTTGACCATGTTGGCCAGGCTGGTCTTGAACTCCTCACTTCAGGTGATCCACCAACCTTGGCCTCCCAAAGTGCTGGGATTTTAGGCATAAGCCACCGTGCCTGGCCTATTTTTGTAGTTCTTGCCTTTAAGAGGGCTGGTAAGATAGTCACATGATGTAGAGCTACTCCCGGGTGGAGGGAAGGGCCTGGCTTGCATTCTCCCTAGGGCCCTGCAGGTGGCTCAGAGTCTAGTGTGGAGCATGTGTTAGTTGGGGAAATCTCCTTTACTTTAATTACTGGTATCAGCAAGTGAAAATAGCGACAAAGGTTTTATTTTGTTTGTTTTGTTTTGTTTTTTTCCTGAATCCTATTTCTGAAAAATAAATGAAAAGTAACAAAATTCTCACATGGTTAGGAAATTTAAATAATTTGTCGTTCATTTATTACATTTGAGTATAGGGAGGGGAGAACATTTTTGTTCAAACAAATAAAACGATCCTGGCTGGATGTGGTAGCTCACGCCTATAATCCCAACACTTTGGGAGGCCAAGGCAGGTGGATCACCCGAGGTGAGACCAGCCTGGCTAACATGGTGAAACCCTGTCTCTACTAAAAATACAAAAATTAGCCAGCGTGGTGGCAAGTGCCTGTAATCCCACAGGAGGCTGAGGCAGCAGAATTGCTTGACACTAAGAGGCAGACAGAGGTTGCAGTGAGCCGAGATCATGCCATTGCACCCTGGCCTGGACAACAAGAGCAAAACTCTCTCTCTAAATAAATAAATAGAAGAAAAATAAAATAATCCTAGATATGTACTAGGAACCTAAAATATTTTGAAGAGATTTGATAACATTAAAAAGACCAAAAAAGGGTGAAATTAATCATATATTTTATATAATTCACCACATTAAAATATTATTTCACAAGTATTCAATATAAAAAATAACTAGCAAAGACATTTGACATTCTCTCTCTCTCTCTTTTTTTTAATTGTACTTTAGGTTCTGGGGTACACGTGCAGATCATGCAGGATTGTTGCATAGGTACACACATGGCAATGCAGTTTGCTGCCTCCATTCCCCCCATCACCTACATCTGGCATTGCTCCCCATGTTGTCCCTCCCCGACCTCCCCACCCACCCCCGCTGTCTCACCCTTGCCCCCCCCTCAACAGACCCCAGTGTGTGATGCTTCCCTTCCTGTGTCCATGTGTTCTCATTGTTCAACACCCACCTATGAGTGAGAACACACAGTGTTTGATTTTCTGTTCTTGTGTCAGTTTGCTGAGAACGATGGTTTCCAGATTCATCCATGTCCCTACAGAGGACACAAACTCATCACTTCTTATGGCTGCA